ATACCAGACCCCTCAAAATTGCAAAGTTTTTCTTAGAGGTTTCAAGTCACATAACTTTAAAAATATTTGATTTTTTTACTTAAAAATTTGTAACTGGCTATTTTAGGGTTGATGAATCTAATGAAATGATCAGAAATGTAAAAAATTTTTATTAAGTACCTGTAATTATCAATTTAAATAATTATAGGCAATTTTTTTTATACTTGTTTTTAATGCTCAAGAAACCCATGCAGCCTTGATGATATCAAAAAAATATATATTACACATCATTCTATATTCATTAATCTTTCAAAAAATATAAAGATTTTGATCTGCAAGTAAAAGGATTTCCATATAAGGATAACTGGGCACGGTTCTCACTTTTTTATAGTGGAATATTGTAATTGATTTTTACTACCTTCCAGACTAGCTAGAGCTTTAAAAAATTTGGTATTTCTGTAATGCCAATAAATGTGAATGTTAAAATTGTATTTAAGGCCCCAAAACATAAAGAGGAGGGGGGATTTGGGGCAAGTGCCCTACTTTTTTGTAGTGGAATTTTGTGATAGATTTTTTCCCTTATCTTCCAGACAAACTGGAAAGTTTCAGCATTTGTGTAGTCCTGATAAATGCGTTAAAACTGTTTTCAGGACAGCCGACCTGACGGTCCATGGCAGAGAGCCATGAAATGCATCAATGGTACAAATTATGTTGGTAATTGAAACCCAGCACTCACCTGCTCTAGATGGCCAGAAAAGTTTGTTAAAAGGAACTTGCAAGTGCATAAATGTTACCATAACATCTTGCTCAATATTGTCTATTTCATTCATTATACAAATCCAATGAAACGTATCATATTTACACAGAACGAATTCACTAAATTACAATGTATTTATGTTAATTTGCTGATTAGGTCAAATACTTTAAATATAAGAAAAAGAAAACATACCTGTTATACTAAAATCTTCACTAGTTCATTTAGTAGTATCTATAGGTTCTGGGTTAAATTGATGATTGCTCCTAATTCAAGGAATTGTTCTGAAATCCTTTGATATAGCTCCTAATTCAAGGAATTGTAGCTGAAATCCTTTTTTTAAAGTATTACACAATTCTGATGCAAGTCTTTCTTTTTTAATTTTGAAAAGAATAATCCCTATAATATTTTTTGTACAACAGTCAAACATTTTATAACAATTCAATATCTGATCATTTATGGAGATTTGTAGACTTGCATCAATATCAAAATCATCTTTTTTGAGACTGATATTGTAGTTTTTCTGGTTTTTATACTGAGCAGCACTACTATCTAAAAAATAAAGAACCTTTGAAATATTAGGATGATTTTTTTTTTAATTATTAACTATATGTGTCTGAACTTCATACACAAAGCTAATGCTCATTATCTTCGGACATGAAACAAAATGATTTTTCTTTAAGCTAGTCATTTTTGTTTAATAAATAGAAGGCAACGGGGTGTAATATGTAATGATGTTGGCATCAATGGTAATTTTAGATTTCATCTTGAATCACAAATGTGTAGTTTTCTTCAAAATCATTTAAGACAATATAGCAGTCTTTTACCAAAATTTTCTTTTGTTTCCTTAGGTATCTTGCTTCCTTCCTTCCTTCCTTAGGTATCTTGCTTGATATTTTGCAATGTAGGAATGAGCTCTTAACGTGTTTATTACCTTTGATAACACCAATTTGTATTCTTTAATTGTTGTTGTCTGACAGATCATTGTTGTTCTGTCTTTTTAATTCAAAAAGTTTTAAATTATGATTGCTTTTAATCTATATACTTACAAATCAAAAATAATATAAACATGTACTTTCTTAAAATATTTTAAGAAAAATCATAGAACACACAATGATCAAAAACTAAATGGAACAAATATAAACAAAAAAAATTTATTGAAGACAATATTTTCAAACTTATCTTTACTTTATTAAACATGTATAGAAAAAATGTTTTTTTTTCGAGAAAAGTGGGGTATGACCCCCAGTGGTCATTATGGACCTTCTGGTTATCAGTCCTGGAAACAATTTTAACACACGCTCATCGCGAACAAAAAAAAAATACTAAAAGTTTCAGAGCTCCAGTTTGTCTAGAGATTCGGCTACAAAAAAATCCAGCCCACCCCGTGTTGTAGGCGCTGAAAACATTTTTAACATGCACATTCATCGGCATTATAAAAATACCAAAAGTTTCAGAGCTCCAGCTAGTCTGGAAGGCAGTAAAAAATTAATTGTAAAATTCTGCTACAAAAAAGCAGGGACCGTGCTTCGTTATCTATATATGGAAATTCGTATACTTGCAGTTCAAAATCTTTATATTTTTTAAAAGATCAGTGAATATAGAATGATGTGTAATATATATTTTTTTGATATCATCAAGGCCACATGGGTTTCTTCACCATCAAAATCAAATATACAAAAAATTGATTAAGTTTATTTAAATTGATAAAAACAGGCACTTAAAAATAATATTTTGCACTTCTGATCATTTCATTGGATTTGCTACCCCTGAAATAGTTAGGAACAAATTTTTAGGTAAAAAGATCAAATATTTTTAAAATTATGTTAATTGAAACTTAAAAATAAATGTTGCAAATTCGAGGGGAAAAGTGGGGCCTGCCTAACTTCTGTTAAAAGTAAAATGGTCTTATTTTAGGATCTTCTTGGAGCCAAAGGCTAAAATTTTCAAGGAATTCTTATTTTACTAAGTACTCTTAAATATATAAAAATCAGCAAAATCTTAGATATAGGGTGAAATTTTTAAAAAACTTCTGGGTCATTTGACATTAAATAACCCAGAAGAAATAATTCTTAAAGAAAAGAAAATTGTCATACCAACTGCTATGAGATCCTTTATAATAAAACAGTTTCATCTACCACATCTTGGAATAAGATGAAAGCTAGAGATAGAACTACTTTTTATTGGCCAGGACTTACAAATTACATTAATAAAATGATACTCAATTACATAAAATGCCTTGAATACTGTAATAACAAAAAGGAAAAAAAACATTCAGCATGACATTTCTGACCTAGGATAGAGTAAAGTAGGATAAGACATATATGAGTTCCAAGGAAAATACAATGTGATAAAATTTATAAATTTATATTAAACAGTATCATGCCTGACAAAACTGCCTTCTCAGTAAGTATATTTATGTAAAGCATTTTTACTTAGGATACCTTCAAATATCATTGCAGATAACAACCCCTACAACAGTGCAGAGTTCCTTAAGTTTTCAAAGAAATATGATTTCAACTTCACTGTATCTAGCCCTAATTACCCCCAATCAAATGGTCTCAGTGAAATGGGCATAAAAATAATCTCTATCTAAACTTCTCATGAACAGAAGAACACCAACAACACTACTTGTTCATCACAACATATTTAATTCATCAGTTCCTACAAATGCTTATAGTCAGCTGAAAAAATCCAGAGAGCAACAGAAACATTGCTATAATCCGAATGCGTCTGAACTTCCAAATACCAAAGTAAACTACAATGCCCGAATGAAAAAGAATGGAATATAGAAAAAAGTTCAAGAAATAATAACATTACCTAGGACCTATAACATTGTAGATAAATATGGAAGATTATATAGATGTAATCATAAACATCTGATAAAAACCATTGAACAACCGTTTGTATACCAACATAAACAACTTAGTAAACACAAACAACCTATCATATTGTCGATAAACATCATACACTCAGAAGGACATACACCAAATGAAGAAATAGCAGACAATGAAATAATAAAAACAATAAAAAATCCTGGAAACTCTATTGGTCTTATTAATTTTAAAATTTACATTTTAAAATACATAAAAAAAATAATAATAATAAAAAAAAAAAAATTGTGTTTGATTGTGAACCAAAAACTTTGCAAAAATGTAACATTGTATATTGCATTTAAAATGAAGAAAATATGAAAATTCAAATAAACAATCTTGCCAAAAAGCATTGAGAAGAAAAAAAAAACAAATTACCAAACATTTGCATTCCTATAAAATTTGATTACAATAATTTTTATGTTTTATTAAATTTATAATAAATTTTTTTTATTAAACTTATAGAGAATAACTCTAAATGATTTAATATTTAAAATGAAATTTAAAAATATTTTTATACTATCTTCATCTTGAAGTTAGCTATTTCAATTTTATTTGCACAAAACCTATTTTGCACCATAAAAAAATAAATATTGTTTTACCACAAAAAAAAACTTTACAATGAATAATATTTCACAGCATATTAAATCTTTTTGTTGAAAAGAACTAAAATATAATAAATTGAGAGAAAAACAAATATAATTTCATTTATCATTTTCAAAATAAGCTATGACCAATGAAATAGTTACAAATTCTCAATTAAAATAGATATTTTTCAAATTCATGTATACACGTTTACCAATATATTAATCCCTGCTTTAAAAATTTGCTGTAAGACATTTGACAAACCATACATTTGACATGTATGGTTTTCATGATTTCTTTTCTTTTTTTAAATTTTTATAATGTAATTACAGAAGAATCTTCTGCATGCAATTCATAAAAAAAATTCAATAGCCAATTACTTTTCTTGTTGTTGAAAACTCTACATAATAAACTGAAAATTCTTATTTAAAGATTAAAAAGAAAATTTTATAGAGTGCAAAATCCAAGAAGTCTATTATTATTGACCTTGAAGTCTGGATTCAAAAATTCCAAAAAAATCTTTTATCCTTGATTCAAATCAAAATTCCAATAAATAGTATATTTCAAAACAAGTAAAAATTTTCATTTCAATTTGTATAGCATGACAAATTTTTTTTATTAATGCTTTATTTTATAAAAAGTTATATCTTGATAAGACTCAATCTTGGCAAAAATTCTTTTCATATTAATAAAAAAAGTTGTACAATATACAAAAATATCTGTGGACTACTCTAAAAATAATAAAAACAATTGATTATATTAGTGTTGAAAGCAGTAATAGGTAGGAATAAATTTAATTAGTTTGATACCTTTAACTTAACTATTCTTCGTTTGAGCTTTTCTGATGGTAAAAGCTTGTAGGCTTTTTTAAATAACTCTAATGACTGTTTAATGTTACCAGCATATGCTTCATCTTTAGCTTTCTTTGATAAAATCTCAACTTCCAATGATAAATCCATTTTGGTTAAACTTACTGATGTTATACTTTTTTATTTTCTAGATTTATGTCAGAGCAATAAAATAATACAAATATACTGATAAAATAACTGATTATGTGTGATGATTACCGAAATATAATTTTGAGTTTCTATCTTTGATTAAAATTATCTACTGACTGGCTATGATTAGAACTATGATTTTTTTTCATAGTTGCAGACATGTTGAACTATGATTTTTTTTTTCATGTTGCAAACATGTTGATTTTAATAAATTTTACTTTTATTCATCATAATTTCACAAAATTCAAAGAAATGAGTTAAAAACTTTTGTGTTATGTGAGTGATAAGTTTGATACCTGTGTATAATACTTAAAAATTATCAATTGTTTAAATGTAAAACAATTTTTTTTTTAATTCAAATTTTATTAACAAAACATATGTATTTAAATTAAAATCTACTAAGTAAATTAAATATGAATTAACTCAGTGTTGGCCAAACCACTGACCGCAGGCAAAAAAATGCCCGCAGAGACTTTTTTAAATGCCTGTTAAACAATTTGGATATTTAAGAGACAACCATCTTGGTAATGTGATACTTCTATCTATCTCAAAAATCAATTCAGATATCAAAAAACTAGTTTCAGACAACAAAAATAAAAATTACATACTTTCAAGATTAAATATTAAAAACCAAGATTAAATATTAAACAATTTCAAGATTACATATCTGAGAAACAAAAAATTAGGATAATCGAAATATAAAGAAAAAGAAAATAAAAAATAATAAAAAAGATATACTTCAACATAACAACCAATAAAATTGTTGACTCAAAAATTCTTGAGTTATAAAATAGGATTTGAGTTTGTTTTTTAATTTGTGTTTTTTTACCTCATAAAAAGGACAGTCACTAAACTTAGTTTGAAGCTAATTCCAATCATTTATTGCTGAATGCATAAGAAAAGATTTCCCATAAAATTTAGTATTATATGATGGAACGAATAATCCACCTCTATGTGAGATCCTTGTCGATTTAGCATGCAGCTTATTTATAAAGGAAAACTATTCGCTAAAAATAGATTGAAGCATATTATTTAGGCAGCCATGTATAAACAGACAACTATTAATTTTGATGTGGTCATAAAAACGTAAAATTTGAAGGTCTTTGTAAGAACTCTTAGTGTGAGAATTATAAGGTAGGAATTCAATTATTCTTATAGTTCTTTTTTGATTAATATTTAGTTGTTTTAGAGTGAGTGAATTTCGCCCACAAGATAGGCAGCAATATGTTAAGTAAGAGTTGAATAAAGCGAAATAAATAGATTTCAAAGTTTTTTCATTAACATAATATCTTAATTTAGATAAGATAGCTTTGGATCTTTTTAGTTTAACTGATAATTCATTTTTATGGCATTTCAAGTTAAACTTTCATCTATTTTTATACTTTTGAGGGAGTAATTTATTATCATTTAATTTAATCTTGAGTTGGATATCTATATTATTGCATCTTGGTTTGAAAACTATTAGCTCAGTTTTATTGCTATTAAGAGATATTTTATTGGCATTAAACCAATTGCAAAGTTTTTTGAGACATATTTGTTCATTTTTTCATATAGATTTACTGAGATAAAAAAGATTTGTGTCATCAGCAAAGTGCTGGACTCTACAGAGTTTAAATAGATCATTTATGTAGATTAAAAATAATAATGGTCCCAGCACAGACCCTTATTTAATGTCACAAGTATAGGAGTTTGTTCCATTTATAGAAACAAATTGATTTCTATAAGTGATAAATGACTTAAACCATAAATTTGAGACACCTCTTATACAATAATAAGATAATTAGCCTAGTAAAATATTTAAATCTGATTTAAATATTTTACTAAAATATTTAAATCACTAAAAATGATTTACATGGATCAAGAGACCATTATTTTTTTTATTTCATATTCGTCACTAGGTTTTAAAAAAGAAAGAATTTGGATTGGCAGTGAATAGATAATCAGAGAAGTGATTTTGGGATGTAGGAATTTTTAATTGGATGTCTCTACCAACAGTTGTGAAACAATTGTTGAAAGCAGATTTTAAATTGTTATTGAATACAGTTATTGAATTGTTATTTTGCAGTTATTGAATTGTTGCTTTGTTGTAAAATAGTTGCAGATTTTTTGGATTGAGATTATATTGGAGATTTTCCAAATTGATTTAATATTTTTGATATTCTCAGTAAAATAGTATAAAATAACTTTTGGTTTCCTTAAATAGTAAATTTAAAGTGTTTCTGTACTTTTTGTACTCATTATCATAAATAGTTTTATTTACAGGATTCTTAGATTGTATATATTCTTTAAACACTTTATTTTTGTGTTTAATAGACAGTTTTAAGTCATCAGAGATCCATGGTTTGGCCATAAATTTAATATCCGTTTTATTAAGTTTTCTATGAGGTGCGTGAATATCTAGCAGTTCATTAACAACTTCAATAGTTTTAGTAAGCATGTAATTGCAATCATCAGATTTGTTAGAGATATCTTCATAAGTTTTGTTAAAATCATTTACAAATACTACTTTATTAAATGCTTTCCAGTTTCTTTCCATTACTATTTTTTTGGAAGTCAAAGTTTTTAAAATATGGTGAGCAATAAGAAATTGAGGGAGAAATTGATCAGATATGACAGTAATGTTTCATGCAGTAAAGTCATTTGACTTGATATTTGAGAAAATATTACCAATTAAAGTTTTGGAGTTGTTAACTATACGTGTTGGATGGATGAGGCATAAAGTAGTAGTTAACAAGTTTAGAAACTCCTTTGTCGATAGAATATTCCCTTTTAAAAGATATTGAAATCACCCATTAAAAATATCTTTTATTTTCCTTCAAGGGTTTATTAAGCAATGGAGTGATATAGAAATTATTAAAATCTTCAACATCATTAGTGGATGTCTATATATGCAACCGACAATGATGTTATGCTTTTTGGAAACGATTATTTCAACATTTCAACAGATTCAAGTTCTTTGGATTTAAATATGTTGAGGTCTTTGCGAGGTTTATATGCAAATTTATTACTTATAAAAAAAAGAGCATCTCCAGCTTTAGATTCAGTTGGTGTATGTTAATAAGAATATCCTTCAAGAGAAATGTTAGTGACAAGAGTTTTATTATTATTCAGCCTTGTTTCATATAATCCTATTACATTAAATTCAAGATTAACAGATTCTAGTAACTGTTTCAAGTCATCAAAGTGCTTAGAGAGAGATGCTATATTTAAATGAATGAGCTTAAGTGAAGTTTTTTCTTTTTCTTTTGTTAAATCATATAAATCATCAATATCTTTATAACAGCTTTTAATTTCTGTTTAATGAATTTTATCATTATATGTGTTTACATTTAGGTCATCAAGACTCGATTGGAGGTTGTTTAACTTTATATCAAATAATTAAGTTTTGGATATCTTAGTACCACTCAAATTATGGAAATCAGTATCATTTATATTTTCATTGTTAAACAAAAATATAAACAGGGTTGCCATTATACTTTTTAAAATTTTTTCCCTGAGTTTTCCCTGAATAAAAAGTGTTTTCCCCTGAGTTAAACTTTTTGAGTTCCCTTAGTTTTCCCTAACTTTTCCATATTCTTTCTGGTTCATCAACGAGATTATTATTTTCCTTACTTAAACACAATCTTTATATTTGATTAACTAAAACTTTTATAACAGCATCATCTTGTAAACTTATTATTATTATTGAGCAGCTGTGGTGCAGCACTTGCCCCAGAAACAAAGGATCCATGGTTCAAACCCCATCTCTGGGCAAGTTTTGCGATATCAGTTAGGAAGGAGGCGTGAACTTCCAATTAAATGCTCATCTGTGATGTTCTGTGATCATAAGGACTTCTTGGGGTAACTTAAAAATTAAAAAAAAAAAAAAATTATATATATTAGCGAAAAATTTTTGAAAAAAAAATTTTATAAAAATAATTACTTTCCCTGAGTTTTATGGAAATTTGAAAAAATCCCTGAGTTTTCCAGGTTTTTCCTGGGATTCATGCTATTTTCAGGTATTCCAGGTTGAGTGGCAACCCTGATAAAGCTTAGACAATTTTTACAGAACCATGAATCGTTTTCTAATAAGTTTTTTAGTAATTGATAATCTATGTCGTTTAGATTATTGCATTTTAGGTGAACCCAGGATAGGCAATAATCACAGAAAATTGCTTTATGAATTTTAGAGACAATAAACTTGCAGATAGCACATAAGTTATCTGACATGGTTGTTATGATGATTTAAAGTAATATGTCAGTAAAATTAATATAGTAAACAAAATAAATTATATATAGTATGTATATACATATAATATATGTATATATGTGTGTGTGTATAAAATATATAGGTATATGAAATTGAACTTGTTCTAGGAAGTATAAGTATTCCTTGACAAATTAAATAAATATAGCTTGTGCCTGCCTACAGGGAAGATTTAAGGTCAGTATATATAGTAAAAGTACACCTTTAAATGATGAAAAAAGTAAATTAAATAAATATTCAAATACTATTTAGAAGACTCTATATTTAACATATTCGAGGTCTTTCTCGTTTTTTTCAACCATTAACGTATTGCTATCCTGGATAAGCAATAATTAATAATAAGCAGGATATTATCCTGCTAACTATTGCTTATCCTGGATAATCAATAAAACCAGATGATATTTCGTTGTTTGCTTGAGTTGTTTTAAGCCAACAGAGCCTCGTTACATCGGTGAGCGAAAGATATATACTATGAATATATATTATATACTATGACTCAAAATGAGGTTTTGATTTTTTAAAAAACGAAGACCAGATATATTACTGAATTGGGGAGAAATGTAGGAGATTGCTTCTACATTGTCTAATTTAGGGATAACATGCAAGGGAATGCTGCTATATCGACTGAGGGTTTGATTTAATACAGGTATAGATTAATCGATGTAGCAGCACTCTCCTACATTTCTCCTCAAATCAGTAATATATCTGGTCTTCGTTTTTAAAAAAAACCAAAACCTCATTTTGAGTCATAGTATCTTTCGCCTACCCATTAAT